GGCACCGAGCCACTTCCTCTTGCCTTTATTCACTCACCTGGGAGTAGCGGAGAGCAGGCCTGTTGGCCCCCAAAGACATCCCCTCTCTGCTCTTCCCCCTTCCCACAAATGCCCCCCCAGTCTGTCCTTCTGAAACATCTTTTCCCATTCCAAGGTGCTCTTAAAGTTGTTCTTAGTAAGAGGAAAGAACAAGAAGAGCATATCTAAGAGCCCCGCCTTTGCAGACTCCCATATCACTAAGAAAGTTCACAAATGGACAGCTCCCATGCCCAGCTGGTGTCTGTGGGATGGGCAGGAGTGTGTGTGATGACTCTGTAACCATCACAAACTGTGATGAAATGTACTGACAGGAGACAAAGCATCTTCCCTAACTTTTCCAACTAGCTTTTGTGAAAGAAGCCTAACCTATTCAAGAAATTTGAAAAAGAGAAACATCCTTCTAAATTGGAATACATCAGGAAAAGGTGTTGCTTGAATGATGAAGCATGCTCAACTGTAGCTGGATCAATCGTGTGGGGTCAGTTGTAAGACTGTGGCATTCTATTTTAGGTTCTGCAGGCACATCGTACTGTGTATGAGTTTGCTAGGGCTGCCAAAACAAAGCATCACAGACTGGGTGGCTGCAACCACAGAAAGTTATTTTCTCACAATTCTGGGGGCTATAATCTGAGATCAAAGTGTCAGCAGGCTTGTGTCTTCTGAGGTCCCTCTCCTTGGCTTATACATGTCCAGATAGATGCCCATCTTCTCCCTGTATCTTCATGCGATCTTTCTTCTATAACTGCGTCCACATTTCCTCTTGTTATGAGGACGCTTGTCATGTTAGGTTCAGGCCCTCCATAATCACTTCATTTTAATTTAATTTCCTTTTTGAAGATCCTACTTCCAAATATGGTCACATTCTGAAGTAATAGAGGGGGTTAAGACTTCAAGAAATGAATCTAGATGGAGATACAACTCACTCCATAGCATCGTGTGTGTGTGTGTGTGTGGTGTCATAAAAAAGTGTATTTCTATCTCTTTTTTGGATAATTCTTATATTATATGATTGTTGTGTTAAGTGAGATAATATATGGGGAAATCCCAGGTATGCAGTAATCACCCTAAATTTTGGCTATCACCATTATTATTCTGTAGTTTTTACAGTTCTTTGACATACATTTCTTTCTTTACATCTTCCCAATATCCCGTTAGGTGACTACAATAGATTGCTTTATCCTTGTTCTGTGTTTGAGAAACCTGGGCTTAGGGGGACTTGTCCATAGCCTCAAACCTTACTCTTTCTTCTGTGGAGTGCAGCTTGTCACTTATGATATCATCAATTCGGGGGTGGGGAGGATAAGAAACAGGGCTTGCAACGAAATTCTCTTTTTATCGGTCTTAGCATGACGGTACTATTTTAAGTGTTATTTAATCAGTTAAATTATTCAACAATTATTCACTAAGTATGTCCCAGACCTAGGTCTGAGTGTATTAGGGGCAGTTTCATGAGTTCTTATGGGTCACAGACACAATCAGTTGGACATTACTGTCATCAGGAAGCTGATGTGTTGTTTCCACTCCACTGTCCATTCTGTCTCAGGGAAAGGCTGCAAGGACCCCGTTGACTTCCTGTTACTCTGCACAGAGTCTAACAGAGCTGAGCACATGGAGTCAAGAAGACCTGCTGACTAAAGCTGAGTCCTACGATCCACCGAGTTCTTCCACCTTAAGAGCCAGCTCATCCCAAAGGACCCCACTGGAGCTTACTACTTACC